TGCTTGGTGGCAGTAGTACCTCTTCAATGAATGCGTAATGTGTCTTCAAGAGAGGTTTCATGGTCGACTGTTAAGGAGAGCCGGCTTTACTAGTCTGAGAATCTCATCGGATACCAGAATCCCTCCGTCAGTTTTTTTTTTTGCTTCAGTTCAATACTTTGCTGGAGAGGTATCTTGTTTCAATTCAGGTTGTCTCTGGGAACGCCATCATTCCGTCTGTAACGTCGGCAGAGTTCGAACTAATTCCCAAATACATGCGTGGCCGCATGACACTTTCAGAATTGAACGACGTAAGTATGTAGACACTTTCTAGGCGCTTCATTTACCTTTTTATTGTTTTTTTAGATTGTTGGGAAACTGGATGAGTTTCTATCAATGAAGCGAAGTTTATTGAATGCGCCTTTCAAGAAGCTTTCCATGAAAGACAAGGATCAAGTGTGCAAGTGGAAGGAGGCGGTAAATGTTCACTACATGAACCTAATACTTTGATGCAAACGATTATCTGAATGTTGTGGTACAGTACAGGCTCCCTCAAACTGCACAAGAACTCAAAAGTTCCTGATTTCTTTTTGGTTATTTTGATGCCTAACACCTCAACGCATCTGAAATCTATCAGTACGGCTAGTTTCAAAAGACGTTGAATCAGCCTCCCACCTAATATTGCATTGTTGCGGTGAAGCAACCCTTACGGTGCACTCGTGATAAGAACTAGGCTCCAGGAGAATTCAATGTAAGACGATTATCGATTATCTTGGATTGTTGAGTTCTGTCAATAAAAGGGCGTAGAGCAGTTCTGCTAGTTTCTGGTTCCACTGCTATGTCATGTATCGTTTAATCCTGATCAGTTCTACAATGTCACTGAAAGATGGAAAGCGGTACCACTGAACTGTTATTCAAAAGCTTGTCGAACCAACGCTACCCCCCCCCCCTTCCACCCCACTTTGTTACAGTTATCGGGAACATCGTGCTGGTTTCCCCGCTGGACACTGATTTCTCTGATGTTCGCCACTTTTTATTGTGGCATCAACGCCTTTTTGTTTTTCTCTTCTCAACAGTTTTGATCCATTCTCCTATTGTCTCAATCAAACGATCTGGCCCAGTTTGGCGATGGGGACGGTTGCACTTTGCTACTTCTGTGTCGAGCCATCAAGTGGACCTGTCAAATCTCGCGAAGCCCGAAATTTCAATAACCAAAGTTTATAGAGATCCCCTAACAACCCGTGTAGAGCAAGGAACTCCATACAAATACCATTTACCTTGGCCCGACGAGCTTAGTACAGATTCAGGAGATCACAGGTTTCACTAGAGTGAGCCTTACAAACTGGAACTAGTGAAGCGGTGAAAGTGCAGATGCCCCCCCCCTGCCCCCGTTGCCGAACTGCGCTCTCAATCTTAGAGTTTTGTCTTCCGGTTCATCTTCGTTGGACAATTTACTGTTTCACTTTTCCAGGAGCCTGCTCCAATTGCTGGTCAACTGTTCTGTCAGGAAGCTGATGTAAAGCCTCTCATGAAAGATCGTTCCAAAACGCTTTTCCGTACAGCATTACCTTGTTTGCGACACGTTCGACGGGTGAGGGAAGTTCGCCACAAAGGCCAGGTCTACTTACTCCCTAATTAACTTCAGGATACATTCCTACTAACTGCTACTGTCTTTCTTCGAGAAAACTTAGTGGCCTTTTTGAGCTACTCTGTCCTTCATAACTGAAGTTTCTTGCCCTCGTTTACTGGTCCTATTACTTGATTTCTCCATTATCACAGGCAGCCAGCCTTACCAATTTTTGCTTGTTTTTTTGTTAGGTACCATGTCGGTTAATTGAATTTGTGACATTTGATAGCCGTCGTTTTTAATTGTTCCATATCTTACATTCCAGAAGAAATTCCTTAATAAATGATTCCTTCATAGTTTTATTGTACGGGTAGTTCCCCAGTACATATTTCTTGCTTTCTTCATTATCTTCTTTCGCTGAACATATTCGAATGCTTGTGATGTTGTACTTTCTGTAGCTATAGTCAAGTTTGCAGAAAAATGAGCGGCGAAAAGTACGAAATTAAACGCATTTTGAAGGCTCGAAAGATGGAGGGGAAAAACAAGATGGAGTATTTGGTGGATTGGGAGTAAGTTATCTTTAAGAGTTCTCTTGTGGCTTCAACATCCCTGGTGTTATTGGTTTAGCCAACGTGGTATACGAACAGGATATGGATGGCTGGAACTGGCTCGATGTTCCATATGACTGTCGAGGTTGTTGGGACCCGTTGCCATCAGTCCGCGAAAATTACAGAAACCCATGTATACAAGAGGATGGACTTGCGTGATCAAAAGCGTGCGTTTCCAAAACGGTTACAGGTTAGGATACAATTATGATCATATTTCGCGTGACGGGCGAGTAGCTGTGAGTGGCATCAGTGCGCGTATTAGCACACTGGGCATGTCACAAGGCTTCAACTGATAGGCTGCCCCGCCAGCTAAACAAACGCCTCCATCTGCGATATCCCGGTATCCGTGTGGGCGAGCGATAAGACCGAGTAGGCTTGCATACCTACTTACGCTACGCTCGAAGGACATTAATGCATCCGCGACCCAAAAGGGATTGCGTCCACGGCCAGACCTATCATTTTCCATATCCGTTATATTCTATAATTTTTCGATATCCGTTATTATTTGATATCGTCATGTCCTTCAGGCAGTCGAAGCGTGAACAGCATTCAAATGATGAAGTAATCCTCGATCTCATGCCGTACGAACAAGTAAGTCAAATTTTCAATCTAGTTGTTCTCTTTATTTGACAGGACGGTTGCTTGTTACAACGCAAAAATCGGCTATATTTCGCGATCAAGCGTTCATATGGAGAGTCCGCAGGAGCTCAGCTTTCTATAAGAATATTCCATGCGCGTGGTTTTCTACATGTTGAGCAAAGAATGTGGAAAAGTTGAAATCTTCTATTGGGTTGTTTCGTTCTGACGGGGGTAGGGTAGGATAAGTTTGCATCGACAGAGAAGTCTCAGCTCATATATTTCCGTCAATGACAGGATCCCCACTTGGTTAGGATACTTATGGGACTTCTTCTGTACTTCCTTTGACTTCTTTTGACACTGTGAAAGCTAGGAATCGTTGGTTGAGAACAGTTTTGATTACCTCCTTGTCACCTTCATGAGGGTCTGCATGAGCAAGGCTCTCTTTCGAGTTTTCAAAGGGACGCCCCATGTTCATCTGATGCGCAGAGGCTTCCTCTAAAGAGGTATCCCGTCCTCAGTCACGTAGACTGTATTACTTTCGCAGCTTAAAAATACGTAAGGAAGGGACCACATCACAATGAATCTTTAGCGGAAAAACAAGGTAAAACCGTAAGGTAGAGACTACTGTTTTACCCATTGATAGGCGTCGAAAAACAGCTGTATTGGAGAAAACATAGCTGAAATTGTGTTGTATGCAATATTACTCTAGGTGAAAAAACTTTATCCCGAAGAGCTTTTTGCTTATATGGAAAGCACGTTCAGTCTACCAGATGAAATGTGCGCCGCGTTTGAGAAGGACGACAGCAGCAAGAAGGCTTCACGTAAGAAGAAAAAGTCAACTAAATGAATTTGTATGTTTCCATTGGAATTGCTCTACAAGAGTCTCAACCATCCTGTTGTACATACTGTCTTAGCATCAGGGTCAGATGAAGGTGGGAGGTTTCCACACTGTTTATTCCACGATGAGAGAATTCGTAATTGCGGACTCAGTGACGCGCGCGCGTGGTGGCGGTCTTGAAAATTTCTGCTCCTTCCTAGTTGTACGCGACATTATCAGGCTTCAGCCTAATGACTTGAATGCCATTAGGTTTCGAATGCAAACGGCGAATCTTTTCGTTCACGAAAACCACTTCCGTGAGCTGTGCCAAGTACGCAATTACGACACATCTATCTCCCGGATACAGTGTACCTATGAGGTCGTGTTTAACATTTTCAAACAGGGAAGAAGAGTTCTTGAGTGCTCAAATTTCCACCTCCAGCTTGACCCTGCTTTTCGTTCACTTAACCAGGATTGTCTCGCGGTTTATTATGAAGCGCATGTGTATGCAATTTTTGAATTTGTGCCTTTTGTCGTGTCTTGTTTGCATAAGAAGATCTGCTTTAT